GTGGCACAGCCATTTAGTGCACCAGGTCATGACGGAACTCCAGTAAACATTTTTAAACCCAAGGGGCTGGCAGAATTTACAACCTGATCAGCAGCAGGCCAAACCACACTTACCAGCTCACAACACTTGGAGCAGAGCACTGGGACCTGCCCTCCAGGAAAAGAAATGCTACTGCAGGATGAGACCCTCTTCAGCCATCGCTCCCAAACAACCCCACTCCCTGTGGTAATATCTTTGGAAGAATGGAGGCCCTGAGTCAGATTTTTCCTCGATCCTCCAAAACCTTTGTATGGCTCTAAATAAAAGGCAGAGGAACCTGAGCCTAGCAGCAAGTGAGTGTTCATAGCAGGATGGGGTGAAGATGAGCAGCAGCTATAGTCCTGTGGGTTTGCCAGACAGTTAGTGGAATATGGATGGGTTAGCCACCGATATTTAGATTGGGAAATATAACATAGGCATGGATGGGAGAGTGGGAAGGGAGGGTCACTTTCAGTTGTCTATCAGGACAATCAGTGAATATCTAGATAAGCACCTGGGATGAAATCAAGGCCTGGAGTTCACCTCCATACTTTTGAGTGCTTACTGAAACCAAACCTCTAATTTTTCATCTTGAGTGACTTTACCAGTGAGAGGGAGGAAGGGAGCACCATCATGTTTCATCTCCGCATTCCCAGACTTTTAGATGCTGATACTTCTCGGGAATGATTTTTTTTCCAGTGGCAGAAAGAAGTGCTGATGTTTTGGTGCTGTGATGGAATTTCAAATGGGAATTATTGTGATCACTATATTTATAAACGCACATGCTTCTCAGAGTTGATGCTCGAGGTTGGTTCACTGTGTACAGGATTAGGTATATGATGAGAGGTTAAAACATTGCTTAAATGGATAATGGAAAAACAAAGTCCACTTGTTACTCACTGCAAACATTCTCCTTCAAATTCCATATAATTATAGCATTACTGTGGGATGGGATTCCACCTAGCCCCAAAACATGCAGCATAAAAATATTAATCACACAAAGTCCTGCATGACAATCATATTCCATCATGATAGTCATTGATCCAGTGTCTACTACTTAGACAACAGCTGTACTGAGTCTGGATAGGAAATAAACATAAATGTTAATTATTTTACTTGAGATGAGAAACCAGATAACATTTTGAACTGGTTAACAGGAAAACAGTATTAGAGCTTATAGCTTATAAAAAATATCAAAAATACAAATCAGGAGGACGTTTGCAGGTCAAAGAAGGACAAGCGTAATACTGCAATAAAAAGTGAGTGAATGAAACAGAGAGAGAGAGTGTGAAATTATTCATGGGAAGACTATTTGTGTCTCAGACAATTCAAATTACCCTCTGTATTGGACATGCTCCATATAGTAGAAGAAACCAGATTTGACTTGATTCCATCAGGCTATAGTGGTTTACTTTGTTCTCTTTGTTAAACATAATAAAACCCCAAATATCTCAGATACTGAGATCATCCACACAGTGTCACAGAATGTGGAATCTGATGTTCAGATACACCTTTCTCATTCAAATCATATCATGCACTGTAATGTGAAGCATTAGATCCTCATTCTCCACTCATCTACACACATGCTTAATTTTACACAATGGGAGTAATTCCATCAGCATCAATGGTATTACTCACAATGCACACAATCAAGTACATTTAAGGGCACATCTATATGGCGAAGTAATGCACAATAGGGGAGTGTTTCTATATGTTTTTAATGTGCAACAGCAAGGTGGACTCAGACCAATTAATTCACAACACTTCAATGCACTTTAGAAACCACCCCCCACATAAACAACAAGTCCTCTGGTACCTTATAGACTAACATGACATACATCTGACGAAGTGGGTCTTTGCCCACGAAAGCTTACCTCCAATAAATCTGCTAGTTTATAAAGTGCCAAAGGACTTCTGGTTGTTTATGGAGATTCAGACTAACATGGCTCCCCTCTGATACTGGTCACCCCCACATAGTACATGTTGCTGCTTTAGTTAAGACCTGAGTAGATAAAACTGGAGTCTTCTCAGGAACAGGACCCGAGGTTGTTGATTTTACAAATGAGTTAGGTGTTGCTCAGTTGTGATGCAATGCTTCTATAACTGAGCTCCAACCTCTTATTAAACTCAAGCGACCTCTCTGTTTTGGAACAGAGCATGTACATTTTTGTTAAAGCCATAGACTTTATGGAAGTTTGCATGCATGGAAGTTTGCTTTCAGAAGAACTATTAAAATGTGTTTTAAAATAGCTGGGAACAGAGGTAAAAGAGCCTCATATTAATACACTTGGTCCTTTATGTAACTTCGTAGATGGCATGAGGGTACACTGCCCCAGTTGTAATCCTCTGTGAATTCTATTTTGCACAGGAATTGATTTCCCAGTCACAATACATATACCCAATACTCTCCTCATGCTTATCACATACAAAAAATTATTTCAGTGTAGTGGATGTGGTATGTCAGATTATTTGAAGAGATTTTTTTTTCTGCTGAAGCATTACAAAAATCACAAGAGACCAAGCCACAATTTCAGTCAAAAATTAAAAGTTTAAGATAGCAATGAGTGACTGAAAATGGTAAATTAGCATAGAAACCATTAAAAAACTCTGATTATAGCAACCACTGCCTTGCCTGCAGTAATATGTAAGGCCTTGTTTTCACTTACCGGGAGACTGATGCAGCGGAGATTGATCTCCCAGGGGGTCGATTTAGCAAGTCTGGTAAGTACACGCTAAATCAACCACTGATTGCATTTTCATGTATTCTGGTACTCCAGGTTGCGAGAGGTAAAAGGGAAGTCAATGGGAGAGTTTTTCCCGTCGACTCCCCACAGTGGGAAAGTCACAGTAAGTTGAACTAAGGTATGTCAACTCCAGCTATGCTATTCACATAGCTGGAGTTGAATACCTTACTTTGACTTTGTCCCTTAATGTAGACCTGGCCTCTGTGTCAGTGCTTATCCACAATATTTGTGGGTGACGGACTGACTTGTGTTCCTGTAACATTCATTGGTCTTGTTACTTTGGATTAGGATCTTTAAAAATATTTACTATTTGCTGTTCTATTTAGTGTTTCAACAAGCAAAAACAAAGTACAGGCAATCCCCGGGTTACGTACAAGATAGGGACTGTAGGTTTGTTCTTAAGTTGAATCTGTATGTAAGTCGGAACTGGCGTCAGCCACTGCTGAAACTGATCAGTTTCAACCGCGGCTGAATCTGGACGCCAGTTCTGACTTGCATACAGATTCAACTTAAGAAACCCAGGCGTTCCCAAGTCAGCTGCTGCTGAAACTGATCAGCGGCTGATTCCAGGAAGCCTGGGGCAGAGCAACTCTGCCTCGGGCTTCCTGTAGTCAGCCGCTGGTCAGTTTCA